TATTTCAAATGGAATCTCTTGATAATTATGGCATAGATAGAACATGTAGTTGTGAATTAAATGCATCAATTGCCTGTCGCTGTTCCTGATATCGGAGATTACGACGTCTCCAATAATCATCTATTTCTGCTTCATCAATAGGATTCTGATCATTATTTTGATCATTATCCTGGTTATCATGATTATTATTATCAATGTTATCGACATTGATATCAAATATATCGTCGATTGATAGCGGTTGATAGCTGAATTTCTCCGTTTTCACGATCGATCGCGTTCTGGCGTTCATCTTGCTCACGTTGACGACAAACGATGAAAGAGATAAGAAAATTTGACGAAAAACGATTGACGATGAACGAAGTTGTGTTCAAATTCAGATTCTTCAAGAAACATTTGTTGATGATTTGTGTTGTACATTCGCGATTATTGACGTAGTAATCGCACGGCATATGTGAATTTTGAGAATTATTTTGTATATGGTTTTGTAAAGAAAAATAAATAATTTGCATAATTCTCTTGATCTGCTACATTATTATTCTCATCAACATCTGAATCAAAAGAATCGATCACTTCGAATGGGATCGGTTGATTAGGTCGAGGTTGAAGACGATTATTATATTGATTTATTTTTTATTCTATCCATTTTATTCATATCTATTTCCGGGAATCCCGGATTCGGTCTGCTTTGGCCCGAATTTTTAACGTACACTTTATCAGATCCTCTACAATAGCGTGAATGATAACATTTAGATGATGATTCAAGTCTCTGGTGGAAGAAGAAGAACCAATTTCTTCGGTAAATTGACGTTGTCTCCTGTCCAAGAAGGGTATTCGATATGATGAAATATCGAATTTATCTTCAATGAGTGATTTAATTGATTTGTACATATTGCACAAAAATGAGTGTATTTTTTCAAAAAATTGCAACAAGAACGATGAATAGCAAAATAGCGAATTTGAAACACAAAAAAATTGAAACAATTAGAAACATATAGATTAAAAAATAAAGAAATGACAAATTCTAGAAAAAAAACGAATACATTGATAATTAACGAGATTGAAAACCAAATAATTGAGTTTATTTGACGATCAAATCTTGAAACTAATATGTACAATTTCGTTGTGAAGAAAAATAATTGCAACAAAAATTTTGATAAAAATATTAATAACTTTATTCAACATAAATGATATCTTCAATTGTCGACATTATTGTTTATTGAGATCGTCAACATATCATTTTTCACGTAATTGTTCTCGCGAATAAGCATGATCAACGACTATAACTGGAGCGCTATTAAAGATTCCACTAAGTCGATTCATAACGCGATAAGATGCGCCGAAACAATCAACTAAAACAAACTTGGTGTTTGGTTTTTGATGATGAATCAATTTAAGCAGCATATAAATCGCGGTTGTTTTGTCCAGGTGGTTTACAATATTAGCACGACCAGTTGAAGTTAGCTTTTGTATTTCTTCGAACGATATCGACGGTATACCGGCACCCTTGATGGTCGGAACGATTTCATCGAAAGCAATTCGGACGGTAGATTCAGCGGTGTTGTTTGTAACGTCCAATTGTTCATCATTCATTGTGTTAGTCGCCCCGAAATCATCATCATCATCGTCATCATCATCATCGTTATCATCTTGACTGTTGTTCGGGGTAGAAGCGCGGGCCGGCGGTGGTATCAAAGCCAAATCGTCAGCCGGAAAAGAAGCCAAATCGTCAATTTTCTGGTTAATCAAATCAGTTGGTGGTTTACGATCATGATCAACGGGTTTAGGATTGTCGTCAACACAAGGAAATTCATGATAACGATCGGCCATTAGGTTATGTGCGCGCAATCGGACGGGAACCATATCACGACGCGGATTCGTTGTTCGGCAAGCATCGTAATAATATTTATCCATAAGATTGTTGTGATCGGTGATTCGACGACTGAGAAATCGAACGGGCCGCGTCACGTGTATCGATAGAAATTGGTTGTACAACAAACGGTTGATGTGGCTGGTCGGTAATGCGACCCGCAAAATCCCAAACAGATTCAGGATTTTCAACCGTGCGATAAACATAATCATTGACGCATTTATTGAAACACATATCGATGGATCGGGATATAGGATGTGGAACGTTGGCAATACGTAATGAGAAATCAATATCAAGGTTCGGAAAAGCATCGATTACGTGCTGTTGTTCACTTTCCGACAAATGATAAGGCACGGTTATTTTGTTCGAATTCAAAACGCTATAGTTCGTCGGGAGCAAGTCGCCGACCAACTGAAACATTTCGTTCAAATATCTATCATCAACAACGGTAGCAATAATACGACGTGGATTGAAACGGTTAGGCACAAAAACGTTGATGTTGACGATGCGGCCATATTCGGTGGTAACCAAGAAACCGATAGTAACGCGATGAATAGAACCGGGGATGGTCATTTTAACAACATTGTTCTGAGCCAGAACAATATTGTACCCGGTCACGGTACAAAGCGACTGAAGTCGCAAGGTTATCGGCATAGCCGACGGACGAAGGAGTAAATCCATCACGATTTCAATATCGGCGGAAGGGAACCGATCGATGAAACGGGCCAACGATGACAATGTTGGCGTTGAGATAAGTGCATTGTTGGGACGAACGAAATCGTCGATCTCAAAGCCCAACAGATATGCGAAAGAAAGCTCGACAGTGGTCAAGCCGTAGATTATATTGGCGGGGGGAGGGGAACGGGAATCTTGTTGACGGAAGTAAGTCAACAAGGGATCGAAAGCCTCGTAGAGGCGCATAGCTGTGAATCGTTGATAAACGGACATTATTTAGTTGTTATTTATTCGCACGGAATATGTACATTTTCTTATTGAAAAAAAAATTGCAAAAAGATTTTGATCAAAATATTGAAAACTTTATTGTTTATTATATGTAAATATCCGTCAATATATATTATTATTATTTTCATCCACTTCTGGAATCTGTTCATCGATCATTTCAAATGGAATCTCTTGATTCCCTTGTTGTTGCAGTTGTGCATTAAATGCATCAATTGCTTGTTGTTGTTCTTGGTATCGGAGATTACGACGTCTCCAATATTCATCAATTTCATCATCAATGGGATTTTGATCATTATTTTGATCATTACCCTGGTTATTTTGATCATTATTATTAACATTGATATCAAAAATAATATCGATTGACAGCGGTTGATCAGGAAATTGTCGCTGCAATCTTTCTATTTCGACATTTTCACGATCGATATCGTGTTGTCGTTGCTGTCGCTCATGTTGACGGTGAGCGAAATTGAATTCAAATTCGATTTGTTCATAAATTATTTCATGAAAAATGTCATTAAATTCCAATTTCGCTTGGCGATTTAAACATGAACGAAGATCGAAATTGGCCATTTTTTACAAATTAAAATGATTATCTTTTAAACTTTTTAAAATGTAAAGATTTACTTTTATAATTTTTAAATTGTACGATTTTGATTCAATTTAAAAATGTTGAAGCATAGAGTTAAAATATTTAATGATTTCCAAACAGCTTAGTATACCAATATTTATGTGAATTATAACAATGAAAAAAAAACACAAATTTTATTCATCATTAACTAATGAAATAGTAATTAAATAATTTACTAAACTGCTTTGTACAACAATTAAAGCTTTATTAGACATATATTTTGATATATTTTGATAGTTATTATTAATATTATTAATTAAATAATTTAAGTAAATTGATTAATAATTAGATGATTGTTAATTCAGATGAGTGATTATCAACAAAATAAAAATCAAAGAATCGATGGATTATCAATATAATTTTTAACGCGCAACGCAGTTAAAACATCAACAATAGCACTTTGTCATTCGGGAAAATTTTGTCCATTATATAACGGAACACCTTGACGACTTCGGTAAACTGTTCCAGATCGTCGTTCATTTGCTCAATATCAGCTTGACGACGTGAATTATGTCGCTGATATTGGTCAATAATTTCTTCTTCAAGAAGATCATTAACCAAATCATGAGTTTCGGGTATTGCTGCTTGTTCATTTGCATCATCAAACAGCCAATCAAATGGGAATTCATGTTGGTCATGTGCATTACCATTTCGATAACGCCAAGGAATTCGGCCTCTGTTTTGTTGTTCATTTGATGATTCATCATCGCTACTATCTTGTCTAATAATAACCATCTTTGTTTTTATTTTTCTTATTTTGCTAAATAAAAAGTGGATTTACGAGAATATTACAATTAAGAATATTGAATAATAGAATAAACAATTTTTTCTAATTTTTTAATACTGTAAATTTTATTTAAAAATTATCATTCGATTTATCCAGCCGGAGCTGGTTCTCTTTGCTCATTCTGGACCGGATCGATAAAATTCAATCTCCGGAATTCTTCTAAATCCAGATTTAATTGTTCGATATCATTTTGACGACGTGGACGACGTCGCTGATATCTGTTAATAATTTCTTCTTCTTCATCATTAATCATATCATTATTTTGGGGTTCATTTTTTATTTCGAGCCCATTGTCATTATCATTATTAATTTACCTTCAAAATTGTTCTAAAACATTATTTAATTTGTCGCTATCAAATTATTAAAAATTAATTAAAAATACGTAAACATTGGAATTAAAAAAATGTTTCGAAGAAAAAAAATTTAAAAAACATATAAAAACTTTATTTAAGAGAAAAGCATAAAAATACCACACACAGACGGATAAATGAATTTTGAATTATTTATCCAGCAGGGGCCGGTTCTCTTTGTTCAACTGGAACCGGCTCAATAAAATTCAGTCTTCTGAATTCTTCCAAATCATTATTAATTTGTTCGATATCAATTTGACGTCGTGGACGACGCCGTTGATATCTTTCAATTTCAAGTTGCTCTCGCAACTCTTCTTCAAGCTCTTGTTGATTATTAACGGGTTGTATTTCTACCCGTTCATTATTTTCATCATCACTTTGTTGATCATTTGCATGACCATTACGAAATAGCCAAGCTATTTCGCATTCATTTCCTTCATGATGATCGTTTGATTGTTGATCATCATCGATGTCGTTTTCTGGTCTGATTTCAACCATTTTGATTTTTATTGAATAATAATACAAACAATTATTTCAAATTNATTTTGAGATTTTAAATTGATTCAATAATTGTAGTTTTTGCAAAAAAAAGGTTTTTAGAGTTTAAGACGTTTTTTATACAGCATAGTATGCCAATATTTATATGAATTATAACAATAATAATAAATTAATTCAAGTGATTGCATTACATTATAGTTTGAAACAATGTTTCACCAATTTTATTAAATTTAAAAACATTTTTGAACTTTTTTTTCAGATGAATAAGTAAGATTAGAATCATATCACAGAAATGATGATAAATTTTTAAAATTATTATTTCATTTATTCTGCCGGGCTGGTTCCCTTTGTTCGATTGGAACCAGGTCAGTAAAATTCAATCGATATTAATTTGTCGACGTGAACGACGCCGTTAATTTGAAAAATTTATTTAAAAAAATTAAAAAAATGATTTTTATTCAACCGGATCTGGTTCTTGATTTTCATTCTAGTTCTGTTCAATGAAATGTTGACGACGAAATTCTTCGAGATCGTCGTTCATCTGTTGAATATTAGCACGGCGACGTGGATTACGTTGTTGATATTGGTTAATAATATCTTCTTCAAGAATATCATTAGCCAAATCATGATTTTCGATCATTGTCGTTGCAGTATTTTGAACAGTATTGTTATCATTTGGATTATTTATCGACATCAATGTCAAAAATCTCGTCAATTGGCAGCGGTCGATTCGGCTGTTGTATATGAAATATCACTTCATTTTCGCGATCAACCGCGTTTTGGTATTCTTCTCGCTCCCGATGACGATGAGCGAAGTCTTGGTCGAATTCGGATTCTTCAAAAAGCATTTGTTGAAGATCTGCATTTGGTGCATTTGCGATTATTGAGGTAGTAATCGCACGGAATATGTACATTTTTGTAGTGAATTTTGAGAATCATTTGGCAAATGATTTTGTAAAGAAAAATTGCAAAAAAATTTTAATCAAAATATAATATTTTGTTTATTATTTTCATCCGAATATCCGTCAAAATATATTATTATTATTCTCATCGACATCTGGATTCAGATCATCGATCAATTCAAACGGAATCGCTTGATTCGGACGTGGTTGAAGCTGTGCATTATAGGCATCAATTGCCTGTCGTTGTTCCTGATATTGGAGATTACGACGTCTCCAATAATCATCAATTTCTTGATCATCAATAAGATTCTGATCATTATTTTGATCATTATCTTGATTATCATCATTATTATTTTGTATGTTATCAATATTAATATCGAATATATCGTCGATTGACAGCGGTCGATCATTCTGTTGTTGCTGCAATCGTTCGATTTCAACGTTTTCACGATCGATATCGTGTTGACGTTGTTGTCGCTCACGATGACGGTGAGCGAAATTTAGTTCAAATTCTACATGTTCTTTAATAATTTCATGTAGAATTTCGTTAAATACCAATTTTGCTTGGCTATTTATAAGTTGAAAAATAGGCATTTTTTCAATTCGAATTATTATTTTTGACGAAAAAAATGAATATTAATGAATTTGAAAAAGAATTTTTAAAATTGAATGATTTTGATTCAACTTATCAGTTGCGCCGATAGAGTAAATAATGATTTCTAAACAGCTTAGTATACCAATATTTATATGAATTATAACAATGAAAAAAAACAACACAAATTTAATTTATCATTAACTAATGAAATAGTAATTAAATAATTTACTATAGTGTGCTTTGGTACCACAATTAAAGCTTTATGAGTAATTATTCATAGTTATTATTAATATTATTAATTAAATAATTTAAGTAAATTGATTAATAATTTGATGATTGTTCATTCAGATTGAGTGATTATCAACAAAATAAAAATCAAAGAATCTATGGATTAATTTGATAATTGAGTAAATTGTTTATACAATGTCGATGTACAAAGTTTTTGTGTTTTATTCCGTTAAATATTACGTGAATTATGTCGCTAATATTGGTTAATAATTTCTTCTTCAAGAAGATCATCAACCGAATCATGAGTTTCTGGCATTTCTACCCGATTATTGTTTTCATCAAACAGCCCATCAAATGGGACTTCATGTTGGTCATTTGCATGGCCATTACGATAATGCCAAGGAATTCGGCCTCTGTTTTGTTGTTCATTTGATGATTCATCATCACTTCTATCTTATTGTACATTACATTATTGTGTATTCTTCTATCATTAGGAACTGAATCGATAAAATTCAATCTCCGGAATTCTTCTAAATCCTGATTCAAATGTTCGATATCAATTCGTCGACGTGGACGACGTCGTTGATATCGGTTGATCATTTCTTCTTCATCATTGTCAATCAAATCATTATTTTGGGGTTCATTTTTTATTTCAAGCCCGTTGTCATTATCATTATTAATTTGTCTTCAAAAATGTTCTAAAACAATATTTAATTTGTCGATATCAAATTATTGAAAATTAATTAAAAATCCGTAAACATTGTAATTAAAAAAACGTTTCGAAAAAAAAATAAAAAACATATAAAAACTTTATTCAAGAGAAAAGCATAAAAATACCACATACAAACGGATAAATAAATTTTGATTTATTATTATTTTGATTTTTGGAATTATTTATCCAGCCGGGGCCGGTTCCCTTTGTTCGACTGGAACCGGCTCAATAAAATTCAGTCTTCTAAATTCTTCCAGGTCATTATTAATTTGTTCTAGATCAATTTGACGTCGTGGACGACGCCGTTGATATCTTTCGATTTCGAGTTGCTCGCGCAACTCTTCTTCAAGCTCTTGTTGATTATTATCGGGTTGTATTTCTACCCGATCATTATTATCATCAACATTTTGTTGGTCATTTGAATGACCATTACGAAATAGCCAAGCTATTTCGCATTCATTTCCTTCATGATGATCGTTTGATTGTTGATCATCATCGATGTCGTTTTCTGGTCTAATTTCAACCATTTTGATTTTTTGTTGAAAAAAATACAATTTTTTGAATAATAATACAAACAATTATTTCAAATTCAAAAATAATAGGATTATAATAGCTTTGGATTCGATAAATAATTGTGAGTATAGAATAAAGTACCTTTATAATGGCATAGTATGCTTATATTTATATAAATTATAACAATAAAGTTAATTAATTAATTGAGTTGAGTAAATGCATCAACAATTAATAGCAAACAAATAAGAATTTGAATAGAAAAAAAGAATATAAGAAAAAAACTACCTAAAAGATGATTACCTTTATTTTCCATTGATATTTGATGATAATTTGAATGAACATTTCGAAACACTTTGACCACTGTTTTCTTGTTGGGGCATTTGATTCTTTATAATCAATATTGATGTTATTACGTCTGATGATCACCATTTTGATTCTTATTATTCTTATGTTAAATATAAACAAATTCTAATATATCATTTATATAATAAATAAATATATGGAATGTATGATATATCACATAGATTATTTGCTCAATAAATGAAAATACATTTTTTTGTAATCAAAATTATAAAAATTTATTTATAAAAATTTTTCGATTAAAAAAAATAAAATAAATAACAAATATTAACAAATGAATGAAATGATGTATTCTTGTGTTTGTTTGATCAAGGTAAGTTTTCAATAGAAAAAAAAAATTCATTTGGCAGCAAGATGTGTTTGAAATATACATGGAATTTTTTTAAAAAAAGTTTTACTTGCTGTCCGTAAATTATTTTTTTTTTTTTTTTAAATGATTTTTGAATAGAAAAAAATGAAAAAATTTTTTATAAAAAATTTTTAATTTAAAAAAACATTTAAAAACTTGTTGTGTAATTTTTAAAAAAANTTGATCAAGGTATTTTTAAAGTTTTCGATTCATTTGGCAGCAAGATGTGTTTGAAATATACATGGAATTTTTTTAAAAAAAGTTTTTCTTGCTGTCCGTAAATTTTTTTTTTTTTTTTTTGTAAATGATTTTTGAATAGAAAAAAATGAACAAATTTTTTATAAAAAATTTTTAATTTAAAAAAACATTTAAAAACTTGTTGTGTAATTTTTTAAAAAAGCCGGAAAAAAATTATGAATGAGGTAATTTACTTTTAAAAAATGATTATAAATTAAAATAAATATCACATACAATAAAGAATAGAGGAACTTAATTAGTTTTTTTTATAAATTAAAATCTGAATCAACGATATCTTCGATTATCATTACGTGGATCATAATTACGATGACGATGACGATTTAAATTAGAATTTGGATTACTATTATTAAAATCAATTGATGGACGCATACCCATTATAAATTCTAATGGTAATGGTTGATTTGGTGGTTGTTGTTGACGAATACGTTCTAATTCTTCATTCATTTGTACACGTTCATTTTGTCGTTGATAATAACGACGAAGACGTTCAGAATGACGACGATCAAATTCTTCTTCTTCACGTAATTCACGAAACCAATCATTATCAGGTGCAAATTGTCTTCGATGATTTTCTGTACGATTATTATTATTATTAACATTAATACTGTTATGTTGTTGTTGTTGTTGTTGTTGATTACTGTTACTATTATCCTGACCATTACGATAACGCCAACTTATCGTTTCATTTCTATTATTATCATTATGTTGATAATTATTTGAATCTTGATTATCATTACCATTATTATTATCACGTTTTATATTGACCATTATTGATGTTGCCTACTATCTACTACTACTATTATTATTATTGTTGAAATTATTATTGCTACTGTTACCACTGCGGTAATCGATATCTGGTTGTTGTTGTTGTTGTTGTTGTAAAATATTTAAAAACATATACAAATAAAACTAACAAATAAATTGTTTTTGATCGAACTAAATATTCAAGAAAATAAAAATCAAAAGAATCGATTGATAGTTTACCTCTTGATTGGCCATTGATTATAATGAACATTATTATTATTAATGAACATATTGATCTTATGGAAAATTAACAACAAAAAAATGAATGAATGAATGAACAAATAGAAAAGAAATGTGAAACAAAAAAAGAAAATTCTATCGAGTTGTCGATTGATGAAAATTTTTCAAGTATTTTCATCATTATATTCTGCACACATTTTTGTTGCTGTTGTTGTCATCGATTTTACCATTGATAGTGATGATAATGATGTTGATAGAATGCAAAAGAATTGATTTGTAAAGAAATCGATATTCATTATGGTGAATTTTTTTCATTGTTGTTGTTGTTGTTGTTGTTGTTGTTTCACCTGGTTACATAAAAATGAAATTCAAAAGAAAAAGAAATTATTCTTGTTAACACTTGATTGATCACACACACACACACACACACACATTAACAGACACTCACTGAAAAAATGGTTCCATTGATTCTATGGGATCTATGGATGATTCTGATCTGAAACACAAAAGAAAACCATCACCACCACCAGCCAGAAAATCAAATCAAATTTAATCAGTCAAAAAAAACTATTTTCTTTCCTGTAATGATAATGGATATTATTATCATCATCATCATCAATGATAAATATTTGTTGATGGATGGATGGATGGATCGATTGATGATAGTAGCATATATCGAAAAACACAAACACTTGATGATAATAATGTCTATTGACTCTTTCTCCCTAGCTATATATACTGTCTCTCTTTCTATATAACGTATATGTTGATAAACAAAACAAAACAAAACAAAATCAGTAAACAGTTACAAACAAGTGATGATAATATGATGGATATTATTGTGGTATGTGGATGTATGTATGATGATCATTATTGGATAATTTTTCTATTTGGTTGTTGCCTTTACTCGTCATCATAAACATTTGTTATTATCATCATCATCAAAACATTGATCATTATCGGTAGTAGTGGCTGCTGTTGGTTGATTATTATTATTATTGTTGTTGTTTTGAATTTGAAAACAATATTCTCCTGTTTCTTATCAGAATGTTATCATTTTTTTTGTTGAGAATATTTTATCTTTTTAGTTTTATCAAAATGTCGATTCTATTATCAAATATGGATGAATAAATGAATGCAATGATAACAATATATTTTTCATTGAATATGTTGATCGTTATCATATTAAACACAAACATAAACACAAAGAAAGGGATGATTATCATTGATGATAATGATGAATTACAGAATCACTAAATTGAATCAATTCTTGTAAAACCATTCGATTGAAACAAAATATTTTTTGGGATTTTTTTAATGGTTTGAACACTGGCAAAACAATTTTATTTTGGTTTTTCATTTGGGAACGAAAACAAACTCAAATTTGGCCTTCGATCAAACAAATGTATAGGTTTTTTTCTTTGGTCCAGAAAAAAACTTCTTCTTCTTCCAAAGACTGAGACGATAATGATAATATTGACGACGACTACGTCGACAACAACAAAACAAACCGTAGAAATGTTGTAGATTTTTTGTTGTTCAAAACCTACATATGTGTGTTGTTTCTTGAGGTTTTCAATGCATAAGTAAATTTGAGGTTTTTCATTCAAATTCGTATTCAATATTCAGACCATACATTCATTCATACAAGTATGGCTTTTTCATTTCAATTTTTTGTTTCCTCTATGGTGCTCTATGTGCATAACACACACAAACAGAACATTTTTACACACTATTGATGATATAAGTAAATCGTCACCATTGGAATTGTATTTTTTTGTTTTCCAAACAAGCTAAAAAACATATGTATTATCAACAAATATCCACCATACACACAAACCATGAATGGCTGAATGAATGATAGTCAATCAACCAAACAAACTTTGGCCGAATAACAAAAAACTGTAAAGAAGAAGGAGAAGAAAAAACGCGGGAACATTGAAACCAAAACAAAACAACAACGATAATAACAGTAATAGAAGCGAAAATCTTTCTTTTTTTCGAGGGTTTTCAACAAAAAAAACAAGTTTAACAGTTTGAAACTAAAAAAAACTGATTTGATCAATCGAATCAAACTTCAATGATGATGATGATGATGAAAACAAGGGGTATAAATTGAGAAAAAATAACAACATTACCCGAAGAAGAAGGAAATAGTCTTTCGTTTTTTTTAAGGGAAAACTAACCATTTTCAACTGTTATACGAACGAAGAAGAACCAAAATTCATTCAATGAAGAATGAAACAAAAAAAAATTTTCTTAAAGTTTCATTTTCTTGAAACAAACATACACATACACAACGAAAACGACGACTGTTTTCATGTAGTTATTGAATGAAAATGATTGAATCTCACTTGCTTGTTTTTTTTTCGTTCATCACTCTCTCTCGTCGTCGTCGTCGTCGATGATGGTGTTGATGGACGAATAACGATGATCATTGATGATGATGGCCCGAACGAAGAAGAAACAAAACATACATGGATTGCTTTGCCATACAGCAGCCAGCCGAAAAAGCAACAACAACAAAATTTTCTTGGCCAGGTTTTTTAATGGTTATGATGATAATGATGATGATGATGATCATCATCATCATTTATTTATGGTGGTGGTGGTGGTGGTGGTTATATGTTTACATGTTAATTTTTTTCTTGGCCAGTATTCGTTATTGGGTTTTCTTGGTAGTTGATCAAAAAAGAAAATCCTGAAGAAAAACCATTGCTTTATTTTTTTCACCCTTGTTTGATTTGCATATATAAATGCTTTAATGGTTTAATGACTTTAAAAAAAACAAACCAACCAGCGAACCAACTAAAAATCCTCAATTTTTCCGATTAATATATCATTATATTCTTTGAGTTTCCATTTGGTTTTACCAGGAAAACAAAAAGTTTGTTTTTGGAAAAAGAATCTAGTGGTTTTTTTCAATGTTAATAATATTTTCAATGGAAAGAAATGATGTTTTGAATGATAATCAAAAAAAAAAATTTGATCAATAAAAAAATCAAAAGAGTTATGTGTGTTTATCCATCCTTAAAATTTTTGTTTTTCTTCTGGTTTTTGTTTTTTTGAAAATTCCATTCCATAGAATTTTCAAAGAATCATTAATTTTTATTTTTTATTTTGCACTACCTTTTAATCAATGGTCATTAAATTGATCGATTTAAGTTTATTTATA